CTCATCTTCTCAAAATACTCTTGCCACCTATATGCTCTATATGCTCTGATAACGGCACATACAACTGCTTTCTTAACATCATTAGGTATGTGTTCTTTCTTTCTTGAAATTCTCTGCTACATGACGCTAACAGAAGGCATGATGTGCATTCTATAAAACTTGACAGATAATATCAACTAGACTAGAGTGTCTATCTGATACAAAAATGATTTCATGATTAGTCCCAATAGCAATCTTTAGAGATTCCATAAACTATAACAAGTTATCAGTACTTTCGACATCCATAAAAGCAAATACAATGGGAAACATTTGTCCTTCCCTAGCGAGTGAGTTGGCAATAAGTAGAGTCCCAAGGTATTGTGTATTCAACAATGTTCCATTGAGAAATAGAACTAAGTAACTTTCACTTTTGAAGCCATGCATTGAGTAATAAAAGCTTAAGAACAATCGACGAAATCTACCACCTTGTCATACTTATCCTATCGCATAATTATCAAGATTCGTCTCCATCACACGGTTTACATATACGGGTAACTGGTTGTATACCTCATCTTGCGAACCATGTATGTTTTTGATGTCCGTTTTCTTTTTCACACTAAGTTTTGCAATAGTGTAATTCGAACCTATAATCTCAAGACAAATCACTCATAATTTTTTTTAGCCTTGTAATGTGCAATGTCATTTAATTTATCCTTGATTAAGGATGCAACAAATTTATGTGATGCTCTTCTTTATACATCATTGCTTGTCCCAATATTGCATGATTGTTCTCTTTTTTATGGTTTGATTCTAAAAACATTCATCCTACCAAGCTTTGCAACATATATCTCCTATTTGCATTCATCACCCTTACATTTTGTCCTTATGCTATACTCCTCATTTTTACCAATACGGTATGTAAAACAGTTTGATATAACAAACTTGCTAAGGGTTTCCCATAAGTCATCTAGAGATTCAAATTGCTGCTTTATCTTAGTAAGTGCATCATCCCATGTACTAAACAACCTTGGTGCTTTGCTTTGTTTGGAACTAGAGACCAAAACACTATAGGATTGTGGGGTCTGACCTCTTCGATTGTCCTAGTATTATGGGAAGTACTTTCACCATTACTTTTACTCTCATCAAATACATAAACGAACACTTGATTCTCGCTTTCATGGGCAATCAACATCCTAACAATATCATCATCAATAAATAGGTTCACAATAAATCTTCTATTTCTCAAGACAAAATACTTTAGTGATATCAAGTGCATTCCAAGTGAGAAACACTCTGTTACGTATTTTCACATGCCATCTAACCTAGTTCTACAATCAGTTAAAAAGGTACATGCATCACCACTAATATAATCTAAAGTCCTTTTGACACTTGATTGGAGTTCTATACCAAAAATACAATAAATTAATATGCTATCACTCATTTTCTTTTGTCCTGCACAACATTTGTAATAAGTATACGTCTTAATACTGGCCTTGAACTTGCCCAAGTTTGATAGGCTCAAGTTAGATTCGAAAAAAAACTACTAAATTTTAACAAGAGCTAGGAATATTGATTTTTGGGAAAGGTTTCTATGCTTCCCCTACAACATAGAAGTTCTATTCTCCCCCTACCATCGAGCCGTCCAATTTTGATCAAGAGAGCCACTCACCGTTTGATCTTAGATCCGATGTCTCAAAGTATTTTATTTTTAATTTTTTTTATAAAAATAGTATGATTATGAAATTTGATATGTTCCATCTTCTCATTGGGGCTCACCTATAAAAAATAATAAAAATAATTTTTTCGATAAATATAATGACCAAAATACCCCTTGAATCTTTCAAAGGTATTTTGATCATTTTATTTATTGAAAATATTTTTTTATTTTTTTCTCTAGTGTGAGTTTAATAGAGGAATTGATGTACAAAATTTGGTGTCAAAATAGTTTATAGAAAAAAAATTAAAAATAAAACAATGTAGAGACGTGACATTGTGTTTGGGGCAATCTTAACCCTCCATTCAGAATGGATGGTTGGATAAGGGGGAGAATAAAACTTCTATGCTGTAGGGAAAGCATAGAAAGCTTGCTCTTGTTTTTAATGATAAACTATATTTTAATAAGAGCTAGGCGAATTTTAAGAAAGATTTTTGTAAAAAAAGCTACTGCTAAATTTTAACTAAAGAAAGATGATGGATCATCAACTACAAGACCAACAGAAAACAAATAGAGTAAAAATAATCCAAAAATTACTACCACCATGAACATTTAAGCCTTAAAATGACAATAAAGAGAAAATGACAAACTCCATAACAAATTAATAACACAATTTCAATAAATCTTAAACCATGAGCAATCCATTCCTTCAATTGTCAATGACAATTTAAATACAACAAATTTCGACAAATAAAAACCCAACAACATATTTTAGGGATTTTCTTCAATAAATCTGATATATTTTTTTATAAAAATTAAATAAAATGGTCTTTCAACCATCCAAGGAAGCAACTACCAAAATCTACAGACAAGCAAACAACCATGAAAATATTGTTTCGGTTATAAAAGACATAACAGATGCGCATTTATCCTCAAGACAATAGAATACACAAGGATCACGAAGCTTTCATTCTATGCAAAGAAACATCATAAATTTAAAGACAATCAACAAGCTACTAATCCATATTGTTATCTACATTTTCACTTCAAATGATCAATAAAAGGATTTCACATGCCAAGCTTTACCACTAAAGTTGAAGTTGTAACAGAAATAATAGATACAAAATGTTTCTAAATATTAAATTGAAATACTCTTTCATACATGGGGCTCAAAAATCAAGCTCGGGCTTTGATGGGGCTCGTTTTGAGAGAGAGCAGTGCTCTGTGGGACCTTCGTAGAGACGGGGAGAGAGCTGTGGGACCTTAGTAGAGAGAACGAGAAAAAAACTTGGTGCTTTGTGGGACATTGGTAGAAAGAGAGGGAGAGAAAACATAGTTTTGGCCTCAACAGAAAGAGTGGGGCCTCGGTAGAGACAGATGGACAAAGAGATTGGTGATGGGGCTTTGTAGCGAGAGGGAGAGTAAAAAAAGTAGATCGTGAGGAAAAGAGAGGGAGGCCAGAGCTCGTGTTGTGCTCTGGTAGAGAGAGAGGGGAAAAATCGTTAGGGACAAGAGTGAGGGAAAAAAGTCACGAGGGAAAAGAGAATGGAAACATCGTGAATAGTTTAAGGGCAATAGTAAAGACGAGGGTAGTTTAGTCTTTACCAGATTCTTTTTTTTGATTGGGGAGTATTTGTTAGAAAAGTTTACTTTGGGGTAAAAGTTGCTAAAAAAAATTAGGGTAGAGGTAAATTGCCTAGAAAGACTCCTTTTGGGGTTTTTTTTTTGCAGTCTCCTCTTCCGTCCCCGCCGACAAGACAAATGCGTATTTATCCTCAAGATAATAGAATACACAAGGATCATAAAGCTTTCATTCCATGCAAAGAAACATCATAAATTTAAAGCAATCAACGAGCTACTAATCCACATTTTCACTTCAAATGATTAATAAAAGGTTTCACATGCCAAGCTTTACTACTAAAGTTGAAGTTGTAACAGAAATAATAGATATAAAATGTTTCTAAATATTATATTGAAATACTCTTTCGTACCCGGGGCTCAGAAATTAAGATCGGGCTTTGATGGGGCTTATTTTGAGAGATAGCAGTACTTTGTGGGACCTTCGTAGAGCGGGGGAGAGAGCTGTCGGACCTTCGTAGAGAGAGGGAGAGAAAAACTTGGTGTTTTATGGGTCCTTGGTAGAAAAGAGAGGGAGAGAAAAGCTCAGTTTTGGCCTCAGCAAAAAGAGTGGGGCCTTAGTAGAGAGAGAGGGACAAAGAGATCGGTGATGGGGCTTTGTAGAGAGAGGGAGAGTAAAAAAAGTAGATCATAAAGAAAAAAGAGGGAGACCAGAGCTCATGTTGTGCCCTGGTAGAAAGAGAGAGGAAAAATCGTGAGGAAAAAGAGCGAGGGACAAAATCACGAGGGAAAAGAGAATGGAGAAATCGTGAATAGGTTTAGGGCAAAAGTAAGGAGGAGGGTAGTTTAGTCTTTACTTGACTCTTTTTTTGATTGGGGGGTATTTGTTAGAAAATTTTACTTTGGGGTAAAATTTGCTAAAAAAAAATCAGGTTAGAGGTTTTTTTAGAAGCCCCCCCCCCCCCTCTCCTCCCCTCCTCCCCCCAAAAAAAAAAGCTCGATTTAGATCCCCTATTTTGCGAAAATTTGTCAAAAAATTCGTTTTCCAGCATTTTCCTCCTTAAATCAAAGAGTTTTCGTAAGTTTCGTAAAATTTAATTAACTAGAGTTGGAACAGTGTTCGCAAAACCCAGATCTAACTGCCCGGTTAGATCTGAACTGGCCAGCCATTGAACTTCAAAAGAGTTCAAAAAAATTACCTACCATCGGAATCAAACTAGAAACCTCTTATAAAGTACTTGGTTGACAAAAAGAAGGGTCTATATTATATATAATTTTTTTTTTTATTTTTATTTTTTTAAAAAGAGTTGGTCAAGTCGATTTTTTTAACATTGTTTTAATATTTTTTAGATTATGGTAAAGATTAAAAATTATTTTGTTCGTTAATATTCACATTTATATTTTTTCATCTTTTTCAAAAAAAGTTAAAAGTACTCTTAGGGACAAATGGACAAATTGATTAGTTAAAATCCATTTTTTTCATTAATTTTCAACTTTATTTGATTGTGTTTTGTTTTAATCATATTTTTTATATGCTTTTCATATTTTAATAGTTTTTTTTATATCTTTTTTTATTTTTTTCAACACTTTTTTTATTGTTCGGAACTTGTCCATTTAAAACAGTTAAATCGGCCGGTTTACTAGGTTAAATAACTTGCTGGCCTATGTCCGGTTAACCGTTTGATTTTGCAAGCACTGAGTGGGAACATGACCCGTTAAACTCAACCATGGTTACCCAACTAAACCGCGATCAATCCGCTTTAAATACCCGACCTTCCCTCCATTTTAACATGCGAATTTGCACTTTTCGTTTTAAGTTCCAGCTCCTATGAGTGGACTTTTAGTTGTCCCCCCCCATTTTGATTTCTCTGGTTCAAGCGAAAATGGTGAGAATTAAACCCTAATTTTCATTTTTTTGTTGATTTTGTTGAAGATTTCCTGGTAAAGATGACCTATAAACATTAACGGGCAGACCTACTGTAAAATCGCCATGGATTACTCTGTATAATCCATTTCCATTGTCCAGGTAGTTGCTCAAAAAGTCAAGGAAGCAGAAATTACAGAGCAAGATTCTCTTCTTCTGGTGATGCTCCTTAATCGTGTAATTTGTTTTGAATCTTCATAAGGATGTTGATTTTACAGAAGGACTGATCATTTTAGCTAGAGAGGGAAATGCAAATTACGTGTCATTTTACTGTTTTAGATTCACCATAAAGCAGTTGTCTGAGTGCTTGATGTAATATGGATTCCTGTTGTATTAGTGATCTTTCTGGTGAAATTATCATAAATCTTCCTTTGTATCTTGAATGAATTTCTCTGGAGCTCAAATATGAACTGAAGGAAGCAGAATTACAGATATCAAAGAGCAGGACAACTTGCTTGCGCTATTTCCGCTTGATTGTTCAATTTCTTTGAACTATAACATTTACAGATATCACTGATCACAACTCTCTCTCTCTCTCTCTCTCTCTTCNCTACTTTCTCCTCCTACTCTCTCTCTTCTCTCC